TGCCGAGCCATGCTCAGTCCTGGCACCCAGCCTTGCCCGCCCCCGGGCCCCGGGCCCCCGCCTGTCCCCTCCCACTCCGAGTGCCCGGGCAGCCCCCACCTGTGCCCAGACTCCTCCCCGCTCTAAGACCGGCTCACACAGCCTTTGCTTTTGTTGAAACTGCTGAGCAAAGCGACCCGTTGTCCCCTTGCCCTTCAAGGGCACTGTGCATACTTTCCAGGCCACTCAGCTGCTGCGGGGTCATTTCTGCGGGGCCTATTTTCAGTTCTGTTTTTGTTTTTTCAAAATCATCTTGAATTTCTTCAACTAATCATTAACTCCCCGCGGGTGAAGACAGGCCCTGCGGGCGCTGGGGCTTCTGTCCTGGCTCAGCCGGCATGGAAGGAGGAGGCGCCCGTTAGCTGCTTGTTGGACAGACGCAGCACAGCGTCCTGGTTGTGGTTGGATGAACTGGGGATAAAGGGCCGGGGCTGAAGGGGAGGAAGAAGGAACAGTTTCAGAGAACAGTGATGGAACACTGCCTGTGGCCTGGGCTTAGTTTCGTCGCGTATCTGTGCTCCAGAAACTCGGGCTGTGGGGAAAGAATGGAAAGTTTCAGGAGAAATATAGCTCCCAGTTGGGCCTGGTGTAATTCCAGCACTCTGGGAGGCTGAGGCAGGAGAATCGCAAGCTTGAGTCCTCCCTAGGTAACGTAGTGAGACTCTCTCTCAAAACAAAAAAGGAGCGGGGGTATGGCGTAGTGTGAATGCTTCGGGTTCAGACCCCAGTGCCACTAAAAGAAAAAGGAAGGGGAGGGGATGGAAGAAAGGGGGCAAAAGGAGAAATGAAAAGACGTTAGGAACTCGCTGAGCTCTTCCTGTGCCTGTCTCTTTTGCTACAAGAGAAGTAATATTTGCCAAGGAGATTTCCAGATGAAAGCAGCATCTTCAGGTGCTTGGGACAGTGTTAGGAAGATAGATTCGTAGCATCTCTACAACACCGCATTCCTTATGGTGACATTTCAGTCCGGTGAAGATCGAGGCGAGGACTGTGTTTCCTCAATGAGCTTTATTCCCGGGGTCCCGCAGCTGGAGGACAGAGGTCAGGGTACGTGGGGAGTTTCGGAGCGGAAGGCTCCTGTGGGTGGGGTCATTGCCTGGTTTTCAGGCCAGGCACTGGGTGACGGGGAGAGTCTCAGAAAAGCACTGGGGACGTTCACTTTACACAGGCATTCGTGTGACTTGCGCTTAGGAGAGGAAAGATGTTTTCGAGGTTGGCGTTGGCCTGTTCTGTTTTGACTTTTATGGATCTGTTTTCTGGTCCCTTAGCCACATCGCGTCCAGTTTGTGAGCTGTTGCCCTGGTGGGAGGACAGAGGTAACCAAAGGGAAACGAGGCCCCAGAGCCGCGCTGCACTCCCTGTGCGGACGGAGAGCAGCGATGGGACTTCTCATCCCCAGGGTCTGAGCGCCGGTCCCCTCTGTGGGGTCTCCAGGCATCCACAGTACCCCCTGCCTGTGTGGAAGGGAGGTCAGTGGAGGAGCTGCTGTGCTCTCCCCGGCGGGGTTTCCCAGAACATGTGAGTTAAATCCACTCCTGAGAAAGGAAAAACTGACAACAAACAACAGCACCTGGCCCACAGGGGAAGTTTGAGTCTTCTCTTTTGAAAAAATAAAAAAACAAAAAGACCCTTTACAGTGTACTCGCTTGCAGTCTGAATGCCTCTGGTCTTTCTGTCCATTCTATTTTGGGTTAAGGCAGACAGTTTGTTCTGAGACCCAACAAGGCCAAAGCTTCCCAGCACGTTAGGAGCTTGTGGTCGGGAGCTGTCCCTGGGGTCCTCGGGGGCACACAGGACCCACCCCATGAGGGGAGCCGGGTACGTGGTGGTTATATCCGCTCCATGGCCCTGTGCCAGGGGTGACCAAACTGTGTGAAAGCGTGTGTTTTAGAAGGTGATTGTAGTAAACGACACATTGCCGTGAATCCCCTCATAATATTCCCTGAGGGTCTTTGTGACATGAGATCAAAAATACGGTGAGTGCTGCTGCCCAGGGCCCGCCAACAGAAAGGCAGCTCATAAACACACGAGGCTGTGTCCTCACCCACCTTACTTGCTGCATCTGGCGCCGTGTGACTCCCGGCTCTTCCTCAGAGTTAAAATGACCATGAAAGGGAAACGTTTCGAATCAATTCAGTGCATCAAGGCGGCCAGGACAGCGCAGCTAGAGACTCTCAGGAAAGAGGGCTGCAGAGCTGCTGCAGGAGGGGCCAGGACGTGGGAGGAGGGTGTGTGAAGCCAAGGGGCGGATTTTGGGGGAGCCTCATGGCAGTGTTTTTACTGTAAAAAATTAAACACTGTACTTTTTAGTTGCACCTCAAATTTGATGAGAAATTGGGTTTCTTACGGAATGGTAGCATTCGGTGAGTGTGAGTGTGTATGAGCGCGTGTGGCTGCTCTGGACCGGCTGCTTACAGAACCTTACCCAGCTGCCCTGAGGCGGCTGCCGAGCATCGCTCCTGCATTTCCCTAATCTCTGGGTTTCGCTCAGGCTCGTTTCCCTGAGCCCAGATCGCAGTCAGCACCTCACTGGCACGGCAGGCAGTGAGGGCCCCACCTTTGGTGACACTGCCCCCCCGACCCGGAGGTGCTGTGCGGTCCTCTCAATGTCAGTCGCACACAGACCCAGGGACTGTGCACCCGCAGTGCTGTGCATCCGCAGTGCTGTGCACAGTCCACCAAGCCTGCCTTCTCACGTCCCTGTCCCTTCCAGCGTCGTGGAGCTCGGTGTCTCGCTTTCACCGTTTTCTGCTCCACTGAGCTCATCTCCACGAGGCAAGGTCTCACCGTCTCCTCTTTCTGAGGCCTCCGTGCGCCTCGGGGCTCCGGGCACCGCGCAAGCTCTGTTTCCTGATGTGGCCTGACTTGCGCACCTCCCTCTTTTTCCTCCTCTCTCCAACAAACAGCTTTACATCCAGCCCATGATGGGCGCCGGCCTGAACTACGAATGCTACCGCTTCGGCATCTCCCCGTCCACCAACACGCTAGTGATCGGGGCCACCGTGATGGAGGGCTTCTACGTGGTCTTCGACCGAGCTCGCAGGAGGGTGGGCTTTGCGGCGAGCCCCTGTGCAGGTAAGCATCCGGGTGACAAGCCCTGCACGGCACATCGGTGCCACGCAATGGTTTCACACGTGCCTGTGACGACGGGTGGCAGGCTTGCTGGCAGGACTCAGTGACGGCATCCTGGGAAGCCTCCATCCCAGCGCTGCGCACACTGCAAATACTAACGTGTTGGTCGGCACAGGTGCCTCTCCCAGGAAGCAGAAGATCCCATCCCACACCAGCCAGAAATGTACTTGGCGCCTCTTGATTTTTAAATACGGTTTTGTTTTTTGGGCCTCGTATGTGCCAAGCACGTGCTCTCCCACTGAGCTCGACCTTCAGTCCTTAAATTACAGCTTTTTGACAGTTAATGGCAAACAGAGAAGAAAATTGATATATAAGTCGCTGTGTTTTCCCCTTGAAGCAGTCTCACCATGAAATAAAGAGCACCAGGTACGACCCAAAGTATGATGTGTTTAAATAAGAAAAATTGATTACAGCGAAAGACACATTGCTGCGAACCCCTCTTGCTGAACACCCTCCTCCCCTCCTCCTGCCCCTTCCTGCAGCCGCTCTGGAGCCCTCTTTCCTGAGTGTCTTTAGCTGCGCTGTCCCGGCTGCCTCGATGTCCTAAGTGGATCCAAAACGTTTCCCTGTCACAGTCATTTTGACTTTGGGAAGAGCCGGGAGTCACACGGTGCCGGATGCAGTAACTAAGGTGGCTGAGGACACAGCGTTGTGTCTTTACGAGCTGCCTTTCTGCAGGATGGCGCTCGGCAGCCCGATTCACTGTATTTTTTATCACATCACATAAAGACACTCGGGAAAGAGGACTCCAGAGTTCCTTCAGACAAGGACGGTGGCAAGGACAATGGGTGAGTGTGTTCAAAGTGAGGGGAGGATTTTCTAGGCAATGTATCTTTTACTATAGTTTTAATTGAAATACTCAATATTTTGATGCCCCTTATAAATGCTTTTCGTTGCTATCTCTTGAAATCCTAGAATAATGAGGCCCTGGAGCCATTTGCCTGGGAGAGTGCTTCTGAAAGGCCCGAGTGAAGATCAGGCAGGTGATGCTGATGGGACAAGTGAGCCTCAGGCCATGGCCTTGAGACAGAACAGGGGCTCGGGTGGGGTTCACATGGCCCCGGCTTCCAGGAGGATCAGACTTCAGACTGGCAGGCCTGGCTGGCCTGGAAGAGGCAGATGGAGGGGACTAGGTGAGGGTGAGCTGCTGGAGACCGGGCAGGGAAAGCCTGCCGGGGAGGCGGCCAAGATAGCCGCAGGATTTCAAAGGACAGAAAACATTTCAGTCCACTGGACCTGGGATCGGGGACAGAATGAAACCCTACAGTTGTGCTGGTAGGGCACTAAGGGAGGGAGAAACAAAACTGTGTAAGGTTTAGAGAGAACTGATGAGAGGGAGGAGGAAGAGTAAACACTTTGGGGGCTGACAGTGAGGATCTCCGTGCAGTTGAGAAAAGGGAATTGGTAACGTGATGGGGAAGAGCCTGAAATGGTAGAGAGAACTATGGGACAAGGAGGGACGCTGGCCTGGCCAGCTGAGTGGTTTCTGGTGCTGGGGATTGAACCCACTGAGCTATGTCCCCAGTCCTTTTTTGAGACAGGCTCTTACCAAGATGTTCAGTTCCTCATGCTGAGCTCCACCTTGAGATCCTCCTGCCTCTGCCTTCCGTAGTGCTGGGGTCGCAGGTGTGTCCCACCGTAGATTCCGCCTGTGTGTTAATACCCGGATCGTGGTCTCTGACTGGAGCAGGGGAGTGGTTTCGCGTGTTCTTGGGTCAAAACACTAGCATTTCCAGAGTGCAACCCGGAGAAGGGAAGAGAGTGATAAGAAAAGGAAAACGACTGCATCCCTGTGCACGGCGTTGTGTGAGTAGTAGGTGGCGATGGATCTTTGTATTTTTGTTTCTTTGTCTTTTGGGTCCTGGGGATCAGACTTGGGACCTTGCGCTTGTGAGACAGGCGGTGGCACCACTGAGCTCCAACCCCGGCCCGTCCATCGATGGATCTTCTTAAACCTCAGTGCAGGATTGTTTGTGGCTGAACAGAGCTGCGATCTTGGCGCTCGTGGAGGAAATGTTTGCACAACCCTCCCCCCGCCTGTGGTGTGGTCAATGCCCAAGGCCCCTCTCGGTGGCACTGGGGGGACTGGGAGCCCGAGATGTCCCTGTAGCTCCCGGTGGTGAGTGTTCAACTTCTCTGTAACCACAGGAACCCAAGCACTGCCACGGTTTTGCCTGTAGTTTCTGCTCTCTTGTTAGTTACTGTTAAAGTCGGGGCTGCTATGGCAACGGCTGTCACCGCGTCCATGTAACCCCACCCAAGTGTAGTGACCTTGTCCCCGGGAGCTGCTGCGTGGACTCGCTTCCTGCTCTGTGTGGCTGGGGGTGGGGGGACGTTCCCCGTGCTTCACCCCAAACTGTCGGGTGCTCTTTTGTACGGTTTCCGGTCGTCGATCTGTTCTGAGTGCATTTTGGGTCTTGGCACTTAACCATCCACCCTCACCAGCTGTGGGAATAGACCCTGATCTCCACCTCCTCTTCGTGCAAATTATGTGGCCATTAAAGCAATGGCTTTCCCCAGGGCTGCATTAAAGGAGCCGGCCGGGCTGGGCAGCACTGTGATAAATGGAATGCATGCCCAGCCTTCCTCTCGGGCTTTATTTTTAACTCTAAAATGTTTCCAGTAATAAAGTGCTGTACATTATGAAAAGCCGTGCAGTGTCCGTCCGTGCCCACGGGGAATGAGTTCCAGGGCACCTCGCGGGTAGCAAAATCTGAGCCTTTTACGCAAAGCAGCAGAGTATTTCTCGTGGCGTGTGCACCTGCCCTCCTGCCTTGCACCCCCCTGGATGCTGTCCCTGCCTCTCAGAGAGCTGATCTACTCCACCCCTGCGGGCGCAATGATGGAGAAAGTCCAGTCGACAGAGAGATGCACTTTTTCCAATATTTTCAGATCCCACGAATGTTAACATTGTGTCATTTTTTTCTTCAAAAGTTTGTCATAAAAATAAAAAAAGATTAGGGGATGCTCTGCGCCAGCCTCTCCCCTGGAGTTACTCTGTCTTGCAGCTAATGTATATTCTCCTCATACTTGCATGGGGTTGTAATCTGACTGCATAGGTGTGAGCACTCTTATCGGGTATCTGGGACTGCTACACAACACCTCCCCAAAAATTCAGCAGCTCTCTTTTTCTGGGGGTTGAACCCAGGGCCTTCACATTGGGCCACATGCCCAGCCTTTTATTGAGATTTTTTATTTTTGAGACAAGATCTCACTAAATCACTAAGTTGCCCAGTCTGGGCTTGAATTTGTGATCCTCCTGCCTCAGCCTCCTGAGTGCTGAGATTACAGGGTGACGCGTCTGCATCTCTTAGCAGCTCTTTGTTACAGTTTCTTGTGCTGGCTGGTTCTGCTTCAAGGCCACCACTGGGCTATTGGCAAGGGTCCCCCCTCCCTCATCACCACAGCTGCTGCGTGGCCTCAGGAGCGGGCACCTGGTCACCCCAGAGCGAGTGACAGACAGAGCAGCCGGACACTCAGGATGGAAGAAGCCACAGCCTTCCGGTGACCGATCTCAGCAGGGACATGCGTCCCTTCTGCCTGGGCCGGTCAGTGGCACCCAGCAGAGGGGCCAGCACGGGCTGAAGCCAGGAAACAGGTGCCTGGGCGCGGTCTTCGGAGCTGCCTGCTAAGAAGTGCAACAAACGTGGGTGTTGTTTCTAATGTTTGCAGTTACGCAGTACCGCATGGGACATCTCCGTGCCCACGAGCGAGACCTTCCAGGAGCAGTTTCTAAATGAGTCGGGACGCCTGTGTTTATTGTCACTGGCTGTTTTCAAGTTCGTCTTCGAGGTCATTGAAACCCCGGCTTCCTTTCCCTGGAAGGATTTGCACACTGGGAGTCTCTTGTGTTTCACCAGTTAGTGTGTGAGAGACCTCGTGACACCTGAGTGTGTCGTCACGTTCGGGATTCCAAGGCGGTTGACGTGTTCGAGGGATGTTTCTGCTTTTTCTCAGAGGGTGAGTCTTTCTTACCCTGTCTGGTGCACGTTTCTCTGCTTTTCTGAATACTTCGTGTGTATGAGTTTCTTTGGGTTTTGTTTTCTAATCTCTCTGATTTTTCTTTGTATTTGTTTTTGATGTCTTCACTTTTTTAAGTTTAGTGAAAGCGAAGTTACCAGTTTTTTCCTGGTTTATTTAAGAAAGCCTTGGGCTGGGCATGAGGCCAGGGTAGAGTGCTCCTCTAGAGTGTGTGAGACTGAGTTCCAACCCTAGCAATGCAAAAACCAGCAAACCATAAGGAAAGAGGTTCTTTCTTCATCTAAGAGAAAGATAATTTTTTTTCTAAAGAAACTGCTTACATTGTTCTTATTTTTCTTCTAACGTGTGAGCTACATATCTGATTTTTGTAAGGATTCTCAATTTTCTCAGCATCGTTTACTGAATATATGACATTTTCCTTCCTGATTCTTCTAATAATTTATTATGAAATTAATACATAAGAAAGACTAAAAATATTACAGTGATGTCCCTGTATACCAACTATGCAGACTTAATCATTTCAGTGCTTTCCCATTTGCTATTATATATGAGTGTGTCGTTTTTGCTGAACCACCAGCAGTAAGTTACAGATCTTAGGACATTCCTTACGCATCTTAAAATTATAGGAATTTTTCTACCTGATTACCGTGCGTGCTGTGATCACATTTTCTTGCGCTGCCAGTCTTCCTAGGAATACCTATTACCTGCTGTATTCCCATGTGTCCAGTGGTCCCAGTTTCCCTAGCTGTCCTGTTCTTTCAGAGGTCAGTTTTGTATTTGGTTGGTTCTGGGTTTGGGTTGGTCTGCTGGCTTGTTTCTGCAAGCACAGTATTCGGTTTATTTGAGTATTTCCTAATGGTAACGTTTAACTTGTGCATTCAACTTCATACTTCCAGTACACTGGAACTTTACATCTAAAATCTCAGATTCAGGTAAAATATGATCTTTAAGGAATGTCAGCA